TCTTTTTTGGCAGATGAAGTGTTAGAATCCTCCATAATCTTAGTGTTTGAGGGGTTACTACGCAAGATTTCCTCCTTTTTCATATTATCGTTTGCGAGAGCAAACCCTAATTGTGGCTTATTCATAAGTCTATAGAGGTAGGAATGTGAAACGAAGGAGATACGAGAAAACCACAACGCAGAAAGATCACAGTCTTCCTCCTTAGTGCCCTTAGCAATCAGATCCCTAACCCTAGAGTTGGGAGTTTAAACCAAAATCAAAGGGAAACAATGTGGAAGATGACGAACCTCTCTATAAATTTAATTGCTTGAATTAGTCTCGTCAGTTGCTGCGTGTTGATACGCCAAAATTGCCTCCCCTGCATCGAACGCCACCGGGATGAAGACACCGACAATCTCGCCGAAAATTACTCAACAAAATCCCAATTTGTAAGTTTTATATACAATTTTTAGAGATAACGGAGACATCATTAATTTAACTATCACATAAGAAGAAGAAAAAAATGACATCTAATAAAATAAAGACTAAAATTTAAAAATATAAAATAGAAGATCATAATATCACTTTCTAAAATAAAAAATCAAAATTAAAAAAATATATATATATATATATATATATATATATATATATATATATATATATATATATATATATATATATATATATATATATATATATATATATATATATATATATATATATATATATATATATATATATATATATATATATATATATATATATATATATATATATATATATATATATATATATATATATATATATATATATATATATATATATATATATATATATATATATATATATATATGTATATATATATATGAAAAAAGGAAATGCACTGTAAAATATTTTACACTGTCAATCAATCCCAACTACGAATCAGAAAAAACATATTTTTATTTTAAAAATATTGATATTCAATGACAATTATAAATATTTTAATTGGTTGCATGTGTAAAATTGTGTTAAATTGACCTTGCACTACCTTTATATATATATATATATATATATATATATATATATATATATATATATATATATATATATATATATATATATATATATATATATATATATATATATATATATATATATATATATATATATATATATATATATATATATATATATATATATATATATATATATATATATATATATATATATATATATATATATATATATATATATATATATATATATATATATATATATATATATATATATATATATATATATATATATATATATATATAAAATAAATTTTAAAATTATATTTATTGAATAGATAATTTAGACAAAAGAAAAAAAATTAAAAGGAAAAGTACCAAAAAGTGAAAATAATAGTACTGCAATCCAGTTTCTCATTTCATTTCGCTATCTTTTTGTTTCGTAAATATCTTTTCTTTTGCCGCTACAAAATGCCACCGTCTTCCACCCTCCTATCACTCGCCGGACATGCCGTTCCGGCCTCCTTTTCCGGAGAAACGTGTCATTGCGAAACCAAGTGTTCTCCCAAACCTAGAAAGATCCTCAGTTCTTTCAGCAAAAAGGTACTTCCTTTACAACGGTACAGCATCAATGGTTCGAATTTGAAGAGAAGCAACTCAATTTTGACCTTCGCAATCGGCAAAGAAGCCAATGATAATTTCTTATCGGTACAATAATTTCACACTGCTGCAACAGTTTTTTTTTTCAGAAATAAATTTTGTGTGTTCAGTTAGATTTTGTGTTCAATGGAAAGTGAAGAATTTTGAAAGCATGCTTAAATAGAAAATATGTTCATTTTATGCAATTTAGAAAACCTTGAGGCAAAGAATATTTTATATGATTGAATATTTAAGGCATAGTTTATAATGCATATGTGATTGTGATTATATTTTTGCTAAATTATTATCAGCGTAGATGAGTCTGGGTCAAACGCTGTGTTCCATGATTGACGATTCGGCTGCATAAGTAATAAATCATATAATTTTCAGGATGTAGGTGAAGATACCGAGGATATGTATGATGAATTATTGAATAATTATGGAAAAGTAGTATATAAGAAAAAAGATCAAAAGCCTGCAAGTGAAGAGATCGACGATGATTCCGAAAGCCTATCATGTAAGCTGATAACAAGTTTTGTTATTATTTTGCTTATACCTTGATCAGTTTCTGTTTATATGAATCTAGTTAAGAGAAAAAGAGAGAAGAATTATACTTTTGTGTATCAATTAGTACTATCTAATGGTTGAGTGTTAACTTTTGTGCATCTAGTTGCTGTGGAAATGGCTACAGTTGCGAGTGAGGTTAAAGCAGGTGATATAAAGGTCTTGTTTGTGAAGCCACTTGTTTACTGGACTCGATTTTTTATCATAGCTACAGCATTTTCTCGTCCCCAAATTGATGCTATCGGGTATGGAATCTGTTATTGATATTTTTATGTTTATTTGGTAATGCTTGAGGTTTTTATTTTGCTTTGCTAAATGAGGGATTATGTTTGATTACATTTATGTTGACTTTTAGGTCGAGAATTAGAGATCGAGCTGAAAAGAAATATGGTAAAATTCCAAATGGAGACTCAAAACCTAACTCATGGACCCTGTTGGACTTCGGTAAGTGATTTTACAATACAATAGAGCCTTCTAACTCTCTGCAATTTACTCTAGAAGATTGTACCAAAGATTCACCAACAAAGACATAACTTATAGAAATTTTACATTATACTCTAACAAGATGCATAATCAACAAATGAAGCATACCTCAACATATGATTCTCCCCTCTTTTTTGCTGCCAAAACCTTCCATATCAATCAACATCAAATTCTAAAACCCTGTATTTTGGCATTTATCCGCATTCACAATGAGAGTTCACGGGTCCAATGAAGGAAAAACAAACACACACAAAAAATAGCATATCTTGTCATGCCTACGTGTATTCATCTCAGGACACTTGACTCTAGTTGTGTTTACAAAATTCTTCATCTATTTTTTCAACTTTTAACTACAATAATTAGATTAATGATTTTGTTTTATTATATTTACAACGACTTAGGTGGTCGAAAATAGACTTTAGATGGTTTGGACATGTAGAGAGAAGACATGTAGATTCGGTGGTAAGGAGAGTAGATTAGATGGAGAGAAAATCAAACAACTAAAAGAAGAGGAAGACCTAGAAAGACATCTTTGATATAACATTATAGTGAGAATTGATCCATATAGCTGACCCCACATAGTGGGATAAGGCTCGTGGTGGTTGTTGTTTATAACTACAACGACTCATGTTAACTTTGAAATATTAGTTCTCTCTATTGATTTGAGATTTATTTAAAATTTGTGATATATTATAGCTGTGTTCATGTTTGTACCCTCGTCTAATCATAGTCCTATTCTGTGTCTTGTGCTTTGATATCCAGAACGTTCAGTAGCCGTGTTTTTAACCAGGTTTGCCTTCTGATTTTTCTGTCACCCACAGGTGATGTTGTTGTCCATCTATTTCTTCCTCCACAGAGAGCTTTCTATAATTTGGAAGAGTTTTACGGTAACGCAACAGCAGTGGAGCTGCCTTTTGAAAACGAATCACCATTTCCCGATGAGAGAGGAGCCTTTGATTTGTTAGATGATGCAGAGAGTTGATTAATTGTTAGCTTCAAGAAGACCAATAATCGCCCGCCAATTGTGGTTTGTTTACACGAGTATGATACTATGATGTAAACAATTCAATACACTTATTGACACGAGGCTTTGCTTCGGTGTGAGTGGAGGCTCATTCTATTGCAGAAAGGAAAATGACAGTATCAATTGATTCAATGCATTCAGTTTTTTCTTTCTTAGGGTGGTGTTTTCTCTGTTAAAATTGTAATAGATGGGTTTAGGGAAAGGAGTAGTAAACTAGAAAAGTAGATCAGAATTGTTTGTGTTCATCAACTGGTTCTGTGAATTTATCTATATTTATGTGGTATAGATTGCAATTTTTATTCTTGCCTAAAATTTGTTTTCAGTTGGTTCAATATTTGGTAGAAAAACAATGGTGAAATGACTCATTTCCACAAACAAACCAATTTGATTTGTCTGGAGTTGGGAATTCACCGCACTCACACAATCACATACTGACTCTTAGATTGAGATCAAACAATCTAAAATTCAAAGTCTAAATTTTAATTAAAAAATAATCAAAATCTACATTTAAATTTGGACAGTCTGATTTTGATATAATGAGAATAATTAGGACCTAGCACACTAATTTTTGGTTTCTTAAACATAAATGAGAATAATTAGGAAGTAGTTCTTTGACAAATAAAATCATTTTTATCAAATTTCATAGCAACGATGGATTACAACTTTTGGTAGTTGGCTGATATGCAGACAGCTTTTTTTTTTCCCCACAAATAGTTACACAGCATAAGAAAACATCCAAATACATTTTCATAATGACAAGAAACTAAACTAACAATGCAGGCTGGAATGCTGTCTCAGCACATAAAGGTATTCACACAAATTGAATAAGTTTGTTTCTACTTGACATAACTCAGCAAAAGGTTGTTTACATTTAAACATGCTGCAGTGACCTGATAGGCTGATAACAGTCATTGCATTCTTCCAGGTAATAATAGATGATTTGTGCATAATCACGACGAGTAGTAGAAGCTCGTCTTAAACCTGCTGTTGTTTTCTCAGCATTTTATAGATTCTGGATCTGGACAAAGACCTCCTGCACAAGCATTCAAGTCCAGCTGAGTCTATATGCTTCATTTTGATTGGATTGTCTCATAATCCTAAGAGGTTCTAAGACATCTTATAATAGAATATCTACAGAATTCAATACAGCACACGTCTTTCTTTCATCTATTTAAAAAGCTGCACGATGGCATGCATAAAGCAGGCAGGCATAAACTCTAAAACCTAACAAATAGGTTCAGAGGCCAAAGGAGAACAATAAGCCTATCCTCAGAAGATCTTCACAGCTTGATCACCTGTTGTCCATATGTTGGATACTAGGGGGACTGATTCCTGCAAACACCGGCATATGTACATAAACTATTAATACCACAATTATTGGAGTTGACAACTACACAAAAACAAAATAGAATATCCATGGTCATGCAACTTGCAATAGGATAGTTACAGTTACAGATATCAGAGTGTTGACTAGCCTGTCTATGTTTTGATGCGCTTCTGTCCAACCAGGTTCATATGCTTCAAGAAATCCAAGCTTTGCCTTATTGGGTAAATCATGGGGATGGACAAATGGTACTCCAGGTGGCCATCCTATCTCCATTCGTATATTTGCACACGGGCTGTCAAGGGTGTGAAAGTGACTTTCACATTCCTTGATATTACAGAAGCGCAGCTTGATGCCTTTCTTATCTGCAATGTCTTGGACTCTTTCTTTCAAAACTCTCTGCGCCTCGAGCCTTAACCTCTTGGAAGGCGGCAAAGGTTTGCTTTTAGGATTTTGCTTCCTCCTCCGTATCAAAGTCTTCATGGATCCTGTACCAGCATTTCATCGATCCAAGGACCTGAAGTTAAAAACTTTCCACTAAGGACTACTCTCAAAGTACAACTGGCGCTACTTCAACAACAATAGTATCAAACTAAGGGGGAAAACGACTTTATTTTCAAAAACTACCAACTACAGGCATTTAAGTTTAAATTTAGGACCCGTAAAAAAAAGTTAAAATTTAGGAATATCAGGAAATGACAAGATACAGTTCTGCCTGAAAAATGAACACTGCAAAATTTATGAAGTCTTGACCTTTTTTTTTTTTTCTTATTTGGAGTTCAAAATTGAAATGCTTTGAATATTATTAAATCTGGTCATTTCTATGAGCTAAGTGCTCCCCATGACTATTATGGGTTTGTCTATTACGCATATTTTTTTGGTACAAAATATGTCCTATGTAGTCCTAATTTCCTAATATTAAAAATTCTAAATCATGAGCACCAAATCATGGTGAGAATTCCCCAGAGCAATTCAGAAGTTTTTTTATCCAACTCCAGTTGGTACTAGAGCTTTCAAGTTATGGATGGCTCTAAACCCTAAAATCAAAATCAAAATTCCATCCTTCTTCCAGAATATGAGTGACTACTGACCTGTCTGAACAAACTAGGTATGCCGGTGATCCTCCTAGTTCCCTTTATAAAGGTACTCTATCTACTACTGATTCTAGTCTAATTTATATGTTCCCGAGTTTCCATTTTCGTCACATTATGCTTTTATGTTGTCTCCTATTCCACATCCTAAAATTATAAGTAAGCCTCTTTCTCATTTAGGGCACGTTTACGTTTGTTTTGACTTTTTTTTTTTAAATGATTTTTATAGTGTAACATATTTTAGTATAAAAAAATTTTATAAAGAAATTTTTCATAGAAGTTTTAAATAAAAATTTGTTTTGAATAGTTATTCTTAAAATGTTATTTTATGTATTTCATCATTTTATCGAAAAAAAATTTGGATATCAAAATTTCAAAAAATAAATTAATTTTGAAGCTATTTCAAATAGCTTTTCATAAAAATCATTTTTGAGATACAACTTTTTAAAAAAACTATGATTTTGACTATGTTTTGATATTTAATAATGTGTGTTTATGTTATAGTTATGTTTTGATATTTAATAATGTATGTTTATGTTATAGTATATCAAAATTAGTCTTTTAATTTATAAAAAACAAATTTAGAAAAACTTAATATTTTAAAAAATATTTTTGTAGAATACATTTTTAAAAATACAAAGAAAAAAAATCCATTTTTTTAAAGCTAAAACATATTGACCTTAAGGCAATCCATGGGTGAAGAGATATATTGCTAGTAAGCATAGTATCATAGTGGCACAGAGGACTTACTTTCATTTCCCACAGAAAAAGAAGTTTTATGTCGTTGATTAGAATATGTTGTGAAGGTTGCCCATTTTACCGATTAAACTTAACTTTTGCCTAGTTGCAAAAGGAACACTAAAGCTTATGGCCATGATAAAAACTAGTAGCTGGGATGGCTTATGCTTGGAGCATTAGCATAACAAGGTTTAACATTCATTAGCTTTTCAATTTTCTCATTATAATTCTTCCAACGACTGGATGGATGGATGTGACAAACGTGTTTTAGCATAATCTCCTTTGAACATGGAAAGATTTTAACAGTTTGAAATGATAACTGTTTCCAAATTTTATTTTCATTAAAACTCTAGAAAGCCTATAGCTATTGGAAACCTACACGGACATTATTCAAAATTAAGTAAGTTTTTCAATGCAGTTTTGAAAAATATTTGGCCAACAATAATGAATCAGATTCCTAGTATAATCATAATTATAACTATAATATACATACCGTCATGTGTTGGTTGGAAATTGAAGCATTGAAAAGCAGGCCTATTAAAAAGGTGGTCAGTTGGATGAGATCGTTGCATAAAATCATCAACAGGAACAGGAAGCTGAAACTGAGTTTCAATTCCATAACCGGCCGCTCTCATTTCCGAACAATCAAGACTAGTCATTGATTTAGGCAAAAGTTTGAACCCTAAAGAACACCTCCCATACATGTTAGCCTCCATATTGATCTCAGTTTTGTGCAATGCAGGGTTAACATATCCCGCTGTTGCTTGATAAAGAGCAAGCCCAGGATAAACAATAGCCTCTTGAGGCCCCAGATCACCATCCACAAGAATCCACCGACCTTGATAGTCTTTAACATGTAAACCCGCTCTGTCAGACTTAACAAGAGATATCAGGCTTTTATCAACTTGATGATCATGATCAGGATACATAAGCAATTGACCATCCTCTTGAGTAGCAGCTATATTATGATGTTGTGGCCCTTGAAACGAAGGCCTAGCATGACAGCAAACAGACAAAACCGAAGATGAAATTTCCCGATTTCTCAAGGGAACATTATCCAATATTTCTACAAACGGAGAACTGCGTAAATTCAAATGGAAGCTAATTGCATCCAGAATATCCCTTGCCGCTTTTCCAAATAAAGAAAACATATCAGACAAACCAGCCGGAGGCAACTCAATCGAGTTATTCTGTTCCGAATGAGATAAACCTGGTCTATAATCATATGTTTCTTGCCACAAATGAGGATCTGCATAGTAACCAGAAGTTTTACACCAATCATGAGACTCGCTAGAGTGGATTATATCTGCAGGCGGATACGTTTCTCTTTGATGAAAATACAAACGAGCAGATTCTAAACCAGATCTTAGAAGAGCACCATCAGTTGCTGGAAACTGAATAATGACAGCTGAAAATTGAGCTAGCGATTGCGACAAAATTGAAACTGAAATTTTATACGAATCAGACGGTAACCCGTCAGAAGGAACTAAATCAGCGAGCTTCACACGTCCCAAAGAAGGCAGGCCACTGCCTGCCATGAATTCCCTTAGTCTTCCTTAGCCTACACCAATGGAACCAACTAAACTATCACCATACAAGAAAACAATTAATCTCAAATCAGAAAATCACACACAAATGCATCTTGTTAAAAATTAAATTTTTGAACGTGATAAAACTCAATTAAGCACTTATTGTATAAGCTAATTTTCTAATATGTTGTTTTCAGCATGAACAATTAATCACAGCATACATTAAAAACAATTAATTCAGATCAGAAACTCATACATACACTAAAAGCTACGTTATCAATTGTGCTGCTTCAGTGCGGAATCACAATTCTCTCATGCGTTACCTTTCGCGGCCGCGAGTCACTCTGGAATCGCATTCTCGCGAGCGCTACGGAAGAGGGGAAGAAAAATACGAACAAAGAAGAAAACCTAATAGACGATTTTGACGGTGTTTCTGACGGCTGACAACGTGCTCCGGTAGCGACTCGAACCTGCGATTCTGATATGCGATAATTAAGGGCAAAGTGGTATTTAGCTTTATTCATTTTGTTTTTGGAAATTTGTGTATTTATTAAGAGAAAACGTTTTTGACTTGTATTTTTAAGATAGATTTTTCTTTTGAGAATTTTTTAATATTTTTATGACATTTGTGAAAACTTAATCACCAGAATAACCAAGATTTCAAAAAATTGTCCAAAATGGCTAACAATTCAACATGGGATCAATTGTTTTTTGAGAAAGTGAATTCGCCAGATGAAATGGCGAATGAGGCTTGTTAGGATTCCATGCGCCAACCAAAATGGCGAATCAGGCAATCCTAGGGTTTCGCAATTCATCATTCTTGATTTTATATTTTGATTAATTTTTTAAATTCATTTAATGTTTTAAATAAATAAAAACGAATTTTTTTTATATTTTTAATTATTATTATTTTTTTAAACATAAATATTATTAATAAACTTAAAAAAATTAGATTTAAATGTTTAAATAAATTTTTGAATTAATAAATTTAAAATAATGTGGTTTAATGTTAAAATTTATTTTTTAATTAAAAAACTTACAATAATTAGGTTTAAATAAAAATAATTTCTAATTAATTTAATAAATTTATGTTTAATAAACAAAAAACTTAAACTGGCTTAAATACAAAATAAAAATATAGCGTTGAACAAATTTTGAGTGTATAAATGTTGTAAGGTTATTTAAGTCATATTATATAGGGTACGTACTGTTTTTTTTACTATAAATACGACCGCAAACACATGTATGTTTTCACCACATTGTATCCCAAAAGACTAAAGTGTTAGTGCAGTTCGAGTTGAGTGGAGTCTAGAATGTTTGCATTTCTAAATCAACGTTCTTCGTCGTCGTCATCAGCATCGGAGGAACCTTTTCCAACGTTCGATCTAATGAAAAGAAATGCCCTAGTTGTGTTTTCACCAACAAAGCCTCCGATGAAGGTGCTCCTCTGGAATACGCAGACGTTGGAGCACTTGCACAGGGAACTGAACCGTTAGCTAGAAGGAGACATTGGTCCAGGAGAAAAGATTAGGAAAATCGAGAGGCTGGTCGAGGAGACCGGGAGAAACGGAGTTACTCGTGAATGGAGAAAAGTGGAAAATGATGTCGGTGTCCTTGTGATGATGTTGACACCCAAGAAGATAAAGTTGATGGTCGTGATATCGTAGACGCTTTGTGCAGTGTTCTGTTTTAGGTCTTTATGTTGTTGTTATGTTTGTTTAATTTATGTTGCCTTCGCGCAGTGTTCTGTTGTCATGTTGTTGTTGTGTCAGTTAACTATGGTTTTAATTAATTGAAACCTGGTATTATTTGAATGAAATTTGCTATTAATCTTATAAAAGTTGCTATTAATCGAATGGAATTTGATATTGATTTAACGGGACAAGATTAAATATGAAACTATGATCTGCTGCTTGATCCTACGTTAGGATATTTTGTTTGATTGTGTCCTGGTTGCCGACACGAACTACACAATCTCACCAGCTTGTTTGCGGTATCCATCTCAGTTCGAATGCGTGTGCTGTTAGGCCAACCCTTCTTTTGTCTGCACATCAAGTCATTATGCCAAACAATTTTGCCTTCGTATTCAGGCCAATAGTCCTCCTTTGCCACGACTTAAACGCTGCATGTGTAGACATTGCATAGATTAATGACTTGGTGAACTGCAGAAAGAAGGTTGGTTGGGTCCTGGCACAACTTGGAACATCCAGCTATGACATGAGAGCACGACATACGAAATGCTTGAAACTTTCCACAGTCACACCAGCTCTTACCCAATTCAACACGGTAACATCCCCTAGGCCTTCCTTCGTTGTGATCCATATACTCGGCAACACTGAACCAACTAGTTGTATGGTCAAAGATTGTGACCACGTGTGTGTTGGCTTTGGCAACTTCCTCTTTCATGAATTTTATTGAAGTATCGCTATACAGCTGGCTCGATTGTAATACCGAACCCCACTTCGTACGTCTGCTATCAAAGAGTGATCCTAGCCTAAAATAGGTTACCTTTACCAAGGCAGTTATTGGGAGGTTTCGGATTCCCTTGAAAACAAAATTCATTGACTCGACGAGGTTAGTTGTCATGTGGCCCCATCGCACCCCATTGTCGTATGCCCGCGTCCATTTCTCTCTATCAATGTTGTTAATCCATCTTAATGCGTCCGTGTTGTTCAGTCTGATCTCGTCCCGGTGGTATCTGAATGTGGGTTCAGTTAGTGCATATCCCGCGTTCACAACCTTCTTTCGCAGCGTCCTGTCCTTGATTTCCCGCATGAAATTTTGGGCAATATGCCTTATGCAATAGACGTGGGTCGAGGGAGGATCCTGCCAACCGTTGTCATGGTTGTTGTATGCACTTTCGATGGATGGGTGTCGATCGGAGATCAAACATAAGTTAGGTTGTGGAGACACGTAAGAGCGGAGGTTTTTTAAGAAAAAACTCCAACCCCCAACAGTCTCCCCTTCAACTATAGTGAAGGCTATTGGAAAAATGTTGTTGTTCCCGTCCTGTGCCACATCCATGAGAAGTGTGCCCTTATATTTCCCGTATAACCATGTTCCGTCAATTTGAATTATAGGTTTACAAAATGCAAACCCTTTGATGCATGGTTCGAACGCCCAAAAGACTCTGTGGAAAATTCCATTTCCAGCAACACAAGTCCCGTCTGGTGTACAAGCAGGCATCGTCTCCAATATCGCAACAGTTCCTGGCGAGTAGTGTTTAAGGGCCACCAGGAATTTAGGAAGTTCCTTGTACGACTCCTCCCAATTTCCAAACACCCTTTCAACCGCTTTAGTCATGGCAATCCAGACTTTTCGGTACGAAGGAGTGTAGTTGTACCTTTGTACCATATGTGCAATTATGGTACTCACCTTCAAAGATGGGTTATCGCTAACAATTGATAGAATCTCATCGCAAATCAATTTAGAGCTGAGTTTGCGATGGTCTTGCATCAGATTCGAGATTATACAACTGTGGGACGGACCCATTGATCCTATCTTCCAGGAATCGCTTCTCTTCCTGAAAGATGCTGTTAACCGGAACAGGCACTCCTCGTTACGACAATAGATCGTATACCGCGTCGGATTTGTCCGATCGACTCTGTAGTCGGCTGACAACTCCATGTGAAACTGTTTGATAGCCTGGACACAATCTTCTTTCGTACCAAACTCGTCACCCTCTTTTAGTTGCCCCCCTGTTGTGTAGTTGGGGTTGTAGAAAACATCCCTCGAGGGTTCATCATCACCTAAGGCGATAGTAGTCATGTGTTGAGGTGGACAATATACATTGCCAGGTTGAACTTCATCCTATGGATTGTTCACCATCTCGTCAACAATGACTTCATTTGCTTCTTCTTCTTCGTCAACGACATCGACTTCAGGGTGTTCATCTTCCTCATCGCAAAAAACTTGAGACGAATCAAGTTGCTGAGACAGTTGTTGTTGTTGTAACGTAACATATAACACGATATCTGAGAACCCAAAATACTTGTGACTGCGGAACATGTTACGCACGTCTTCATCGTCTCGCACCTTTAAAGGGAAAATTTTTCATGAATCAGGTCCGCCAAAAAATATTGGGTTTTTGTATATTATTTGCCCAACTGGACCACATTGCAGTTTTTTTTCGATTCTTGACTTCAGGTGTAAAAAATTAGACCTTCTGTCAATTAAAAATTTTGTAACATCCGTGTTTTTGAAATTGTATCCTGACACTTCACATTCGAAAACTTCACCGTTCAGATGAGCGGAAATCACATATTGTGGTGTTTGAGACATAGCGAAAATTGTGGTGTTTGAGTGTTTGAGTGTTTGAGTGTTTGAGTGTCTGAGCGTTTGAGTGTTTGAGCGTCTGAGTGTTTGATTATTTAAAGAGTTTAAAGGCTTTATAAAACGGGCTGAGTGTTTGATAAAGAGTTTAAAGATTTTTTTACATGTAACAACAATGAACTTTGTAATTTCACATGTATCAGTAAAGATTTTTTTCACATGAATCAATGACCATTCATGCAGGACACTTGTCACGCGTGCTCCACAATCAATCTCATGCCAATGAACAGAACACTTGATAAGACGTGACACTGCAAAGTTCTACTTTCACATGTGATACCGCATCAGGAATCTCTGCCTTTCACTTGTCACGCATGCTTCATAATCAATGACACACATCAAGAATCAATGACATGCATCAGGAATCAATGACATGCATCAGGACACTAGTCATGCATGCGTTTGCAACCATCATAACCTATCATCCAAAAAAAAAAGTATTTAATTAAGAAAAAAACATAATATGCAAAAAACAAAATATGACCTATAATATGACGTGACAATGCAAAGTTCTGCTTTCACATGTGATATCGCATCAGGAATCTCTGTCTTTCATTTGTCACGCATGCTTCACAATCAATGACATGCAGCCTGTTTGATTAGACGAGACAATGAAGGAATCTCCTTTTCACATGTGATCCTGCATGCCTACATTGACCATGCAACTCTCTTTCTGT